TTTGCTAGTTCTCAGCAGCCTTGGACAACTTCTTCTATTTTACATCACTGATTCCATCCTTTGCAATTAGTTCTATTATGTAACACTCTACAAATTTGAATTCTGTGTTGCTATGTTACTTTTGTACACTTCTTAAATATCTGTTTTCCTTTTTGTCTCAGCGTGTACATTTTTATCACTCTTTCTTATGACCTTTTTGTTTTTTAGTGGACATAGCTTTCAGGTAATTCTCTTTTTCTTTTCTGTTAGTTTTTTTTGGTAGGTTTTATGTTGACATTGGTGACAGCTGTTCAGATTTACAGTTTTGCTACAGATACGATATATAAATTGTTCTTTGTCCCATTCTTGTTCTCTTGAGTTCTTGAAGAATGTACTGTCTTCTGAAAGCTAAAGCTGCTGGTTGACAAGTTTATGTGAATGTCCCCAACCCAGTTTCTGGTGTTCTTGTAGTGTACTTGACTGAGGTATGATCTTTTCTTGTTCATGTGCCAAATTTTCTTGTTATGAGGAGGAAATGCATATTTTAATGGAATCTGTGACATTTTATAGTTTTTCAATTAAAAGCAGTACATGAAAAATCGCTACTGTAAGCATTCCATTGTTTTATGTCCTGACAGAAGAGGAAGATGTAGTTGTAGGTGAAGTTAGGTACCGCCTCCTAAGCTGTCAATTAACACAGAAGTCACCTCATTTCAAAGTATTTCCCTAGTAAGAGTCTTTCAGCTTAAGAAGTATCATTACAGAATAATTCTCCCACTTTACTTCTCTTTCCTTAGTCAGCAGTTCTCCGGGAATGGGCGTTTTATTTGAGGAAAAGGGAAGAATAGTTTTTGGAGAATAGGGGTTATTTTGAGAAGCGTAGATTTAGGCGGCAGTGGACTTTGGACTACCAGATAGATTCCGAAAAGGTGAATGAAAGAGTTCAAGGGTGAACTGGGTACTTACAGTTGTGCCTGTGATCTTAATGCTGCCGGAAAGAAATTCTCATATAGCTTTTGGTCCCTATGTGGTCTTATGAATTGCTATTGCCTGAATTAATATTTCAAGATAAGTTGAAAGGCTGCCTACCTCAGCTACTTTGATTCAGATGAGTTACATGGCTTTAAATGTAGTTCATTTTCTCCTTTAATGATAAGTAATGTACAGTTATATGAGAAAGAAAATTCACATGTCAGAAGATGGGAGTGAATTTTTATTGTCTTCATTTGTTTTAATATTCATAGCCATGACTTTCCAGAGACAATTGTACTTGAACAACAATGAAAAAAATATTCATAGCCGTGAGAAGACAGAAAAGAGGAAGGAATGGGGGCTATGTGCCCACCACAGAAGGAAAATAGATTAGATTGTTGCTCTGAATGGTCGTCTTCTCTTTAGCATGAGCTATTTCTTTACCTCCGTTCTTGTTAAGTTTTCATGTTTCATTTATTTTGTTTTTGCTGTGGTAAATGGTTTTTTTTTTTTTTTTTTGCTTTTTTCTATTGTTGGTAACTAGCAAAGATACAGTTTTTGGTGTTCATTTTGTTACTAGTCTCTTTACTGAGCTCTATTCTTTATTTCTAACAGTTGCTTGGTAGATTTTCTTAGATTTATTAGGTATATAGTAATGACACTTGCCCAAACAAACAAAAGACAGAATTGTGTGTCAGCTTTTTGGGTAATTACACGTCTTATTCTTGTTTCGCGCCATATTGCATTAACAAGAACTTCCAGAGCCAACCTAAATAGCAGAGGTCTCACCAGGCATCCTGATGCTCTCCGATGAAAAGGTGAAAGAGGAGCGAAGGCTTGGCTGAGGTGAAACGAGCCGTGAAGACTCTGGGGAAGGGGGTTTCCAGGCGGAGGACGGCTGGTGCAGAGGCCTTAGTGGGGAGAGCTCCCGGCATGCTCTGGGAGCAGCAAGGAGGACGGCGTGGCTGGACACGAGTGATTGAGGACACTGGTTGACGATGAGATTAGACAGGGAATGAGGCGTAAGATCTACCATTCGCTAATAGCACTGAACTTTCCATACTACATTAGGGTTACTGTGTCATAGTGAGTTACTCCTTCGGTGCTGCATCTGTTGTGAAGAAATGTTTTTCTAAAAAGTATAATTTGTTGAAAAACCTTAATGTCTGCTATTGATACAATATTCATTGCTGTGCTCTACTGTTTAAAATGTCTTTTATCATAGCCATATCAAACACATTCTTTCCCCAATTGCTATGATCCTACAAATGTGAAATCTTTTGCATAACTCTCTTTATGTTTTCTTATGTAAAGTTGCCTGCTCTACTCTTGGGCGGAGCTTTTAACCAGCAAAATGTCAGTTTCTGAAGGCTGAGGTTACTTTAAACAACAGCAACCACAACAAAGTGTAGCTTTGTGCTTTGCTTACTTGGACCCAAGCATTCATTTAAGATCCTCAGTCATTTTCAGTTTCAAGTTCTTCTTGTAGAAAAATACCTAAAGGCACCCAGGCAGCGAGAGGAGCCGGTGAGTTCCAAATCCTGGCTGTGCTCAAACTGATGTGGTCGACCAGATAAGTCAGCTCAGTGGGAAGACTATAAGCTCTGCTGAAAATCAGATATCCCAAGAGGAGTAACATAGGGAAGGGGGGGAAAAACTTTATTGCTGAGAGAAGCAGAATTAACCAGAGTGTTGGCATTGCTATAAATGAACATTTTCTGTAACAGCAGTATTTTCTGACAAAGCTTGGCTATTTGTCTCTATAATGTAACTCTAAGGCTGCATGCAAATATTTTTCTTCAATTTGTACTCACAGAAAAGAGAGAGGGAAATTTATATCAGTGCTACTAGGAAGCTTCCATCCTTTTCTTTTTATTGTCTGTGGCCCGTTGAGATCCCTGTGTAACTTAGGAAATAAAGTCAGTAATTTCAAAAATATTTAAGTCGTGATTTTACATCTTTTTTGCTGTCTTCCCAATTCTGATTCCTACCCATCATTTTTGCAACAAGAGAGGTAATAGAGTTTTCTAACGATAATTTATTCTGTGAAGTGACCTTATCTTGTAATCCTATCAATATGTTCATGAATATTTACCTAAATTTTACATACTAGTAAGTCTGGTTTTCAAACACAAGAATGTGAAAAATAATGTAAGAAATTAGTTGTGGTAACAAGAGGAACAATGAGAAATGTATTCTGCAAATAGCCATGGAAAGCTATTTTAGTTCTTTTTTAAATATTTTGTTTGTTTGTTTGTTTACTCATTATTTATTTAGAGAGGAAGGCAGGGAGACAAAAGGAAAATAAACAACTGGGACTGCATGAAGCTAAAAAAGGTTTTGCACAGCAAAGAAAACCACCAACAAAATAAAAACAGCCCACAGAATGGGAGAACATATTCGCTGATGCATCTGATAAGGGGTTAATATCCATAATTTATAAAGAACTTATAAAACTCAATACCCAAAAAATGAACAATCCTATTAAAAAATGGGCAAAGGACCTGAATAGACACTTTTCTAAAGAGGACATACAGAGGGCCAATAGACATATGAAAAGATGCTCAATGTCACTAATCATCTGAGAAATGCAAATTAAAACCACAGCGAGATACCACTTCACACCGGTCAGAATGTCCATCATCAGTTAGTCAACAAACAGCAAGCGCTGGCAAGGATGTGGAGAAATGGGAACCTTTGTGCACTGTTGGTGGGAATGCGGGTTGGTGCAGCCACTGTGGAAAGCAGTATGGAGATAACCTCAGAAAATTAATAATGGATCTGCCTTATGACCCAGCAATTCCACAGCTGGTAATTTAGCCGAAGAAACTGAAAACATTAAAAGAATTTTCTGATTGTTTTTGGTCTTATAACTTTTACCTCTGTAATCTTCCTCTGCTGCTGTCTTTCTTAAGATGGAGTTGAGAACAGCGCCACGCACTGAAGGTGTGGGCGGATGTGCCGTGGCAATATATAAATGCAAGATCATGTTCTCTGTTTTATTTAGGCTACTTTTTAAAATGCCAATATTTGTAGGACTTTTGAGCCATATCATTTCAAAATGTCTTTTAGACCAAACCCATTGCCTCTGGCCTAGACTATTTCTAAGCTCTTTACTATTCAATGTCTTCTGGGATAGAGATTTCACAGCCTGTCTGTCACCTTGAGGAAGTTCTTATAGCTAACATAAATCTTGCTTTCTGCGATTTAAGTTGAATTTATTTCTTTTTTGTTTTCTCTGTAGAGATAGGAACAGCCCCCAAGTAGGAGGGATGCTTTCTTAAGAGGACATGCACTGAACGTAGTAGAGAGGGTATTTGCAGTCCAGCATTATTTTTAGCTTTTATACATTACAGAGTATATGTCAACATTCTCTGGCTTTCATTTTAATTCATGGTCTCAAGAGATGCTGCTTTTTATGGCCCAAATGAAATAACAGTTACACGTCTAATATTAATGTTTACTTTACCTTTTGCTAGTTAGAACCACATAAGGTGCTAAAGTAAAACAATAAGTTCTCAAAACCCACTTGAGGATTTTAGCAGATTCGTGTTTTATTTAATGTAACTATAGTCATGGGATTTGGTTGTGCTTATGGTTAGTAGATTTTTATCTCATTATTTTATTAGTCATAATGTATACATGATTTATTCATCCATATCTTCCTTGTAAGTGAGGAGAACAAAAACTTGTTCTTTAAAACGAGCTTTCCTGAACCAGATTTCCTTGTGTGTAGTCAAAAACTTTTAGTAACTAGGCAAAAAAATGCGCTAGATATTGGAAAGGAAAAAGAAAACAAATTCTCTGTCCTTGAGGAGCTCATAGTCTTGCTGGGGGAAGAGATTACAAAAATTGTAATTTTAAAGCACTTGTAAAATATAAGATGGAACATATAAAGTAAGGTGTTTAATGTGAATTATATTTTGCATTTTGAAGGAACTGCAGAACATGTTTTATACTGTATGGATCTGCTCTGTGAACTAAAATGCTGTGAAATGTCTAATTGACTCATTCTGATTTCTGTTTTGTGTTTTTTTTTTCATTTTAAGGTTCAGCAGTTTTCTGAAAAATCCTTCCTCCTACAGCTTTTGAAGACTCATGAAAATGCGTTAGAGAGACAGTGCAGTGAAATTACACACCAAAGGGATATGCTTCTCCAAACCTTTGTAAGTCTCGAGCCTCTTCGAAAAACCTATTTCACTAACTGTGTTTCACTCGAGTATTTGAATACACTTAGGTGTACATTTGGCAAATTATCCATATGCACGTTGGCAGATAGTTCTGTTCGGATACAAAAATGTATTAAGTGCTATTTAAAAATAGTTGGTAGAGTAATATAGTTTGAAAGAATTTTACTGGCAGGGATACAATAGGAAAATTAATTGTGATAAGCATAAAAGAAACAGTGAAACTGATTTGAATTGCTCAGGCTTCTAGACGTTGGTTTTAATGCTTTTGAAAAGCAAAGAGGTTTACACTGTGGACATATTTATGGGTGTGGGTAAAAAGATAGGTTTTGTTTATCTTTTTATTCCAAAATCAGAGCCAAGAGACACAATAGTTTTAAATGATAGGGCCAGTTTAGGAACATGACTTGTAATTAATTGACATTTGAAAGAAAATACATTTTAAAATATTCAAAGAAATATATATATCTAAAGTCAACAGAGTCCACCACCAGTGGTTTATGAATGACATAGCCAGTTTCCAAATGTAGCTCATAATTAGTTGACATGTCTTAGAAAAAATAGAAAAATGTAGTAATGTTTAGTTTGTAGCATTGTCACAGTGTAGGTTCTAGCATTGTCCAAAGTCTTTGGAAATTCTCATTTCTACCACATGTTGATATTTTATAAAAATGTAAAATATTTAAAAGTGAATTTGAAATTAACATATAATTTTACATTCATTGTTCACATTTAAAGTTTCCTGTCATTTCCTTGTTTCTCTCCTTTCGTTAAGACTTAAGAGGGGAAGGGAGGGAGGGAGAGAGGAAGAGGAAGATCAAGGTGAGAGAGAAACATTGCTCAGTTGCCTCCTGCATGCTCACTGCATGGGGACCGAACCCGCAGCCCAGGCATGTGCCCTGACTGGCGATTGAACGGGGAACCCTTCACTTTGTGGGATGACGCCCAACTAACTGTGTCACAATGGTCAGAGTGCGCACGCTCTCTCTCTCTTAATAAGGCAGTAATTCCTGTGCATGTCGATTTTTACTTTCAGGTTTGGTCATTTAATTATTTTACCACCAAATTGATAATGCATTGACAAAATAGCGTATATGGTTGTAAGTTTAATACAGAAACTGACACATCTATAATGATGAGTGGTAGAATTTCTACATTAATAATTCTCCCAAAACATTAAGAATAAAACATTCATGTGAAAATGGTTGTTATTATACAATAGCTTTAGTTTTTTATGAATATTTCTGGAGCAGTAAAGCATTTTGTGACAGGGAGTATGATACTATATTTTGTTGTTAATAATTTCAAATGACTGCATTTTAAATCATGAAAGAAAAATATTATTGCAATTAATACCTGTATTTGATCTTCTGTTTTTTTTTTTTCAGGAAGCTACTAAGGAAAAAATGATGAAGGAGGAGGAAAAATTTATTAAGGAAATTACAGACTTCAATAATGAGTATGAAATAACAAAGAAAAGAGAGCTTTTGATGAAAGAAAATGTCAAGGTTGAAATATCTGACTTAGAAAACCAGGCAAACATTTTGAAAAGGGGTATGAATACATAATATCACCTCATTTGTCCAGTGGTAATGAAATTGAGTTTGGCTTCAGATATTTTTAGTTCGAGATGTCTATGACACAGACCGGGGAGATGCCCGGCGGCAGGTGGACATGTGTTTGGGAGGCGGACGAGAGAGAGCAGAGCTAGAGTTACTGGGTTTGGGACTGAATCCGGGGAAGACACCATCCAGCACAAGCATGCAGAGGGAACAGGGAGGGGTAGCAAAGACCAAAGGTAGAAACTAGGAAAGCACAGTGTTTAAGGAAAGGAAGAAAAGAGAGCCGTCAAAGAGGTAAGAGGAGAACCAGAAGACAGGAGAATTTTAGAACTAAAAGCAAAAAAATAAAACGTTGTCCATAAATGGTGTGAATCAAAATAGGAAATGAACTTGACAATTAGGAGCTGTCACGACCATTATCATGGAGTGGGGAGTTGAGGAAGCAGAGAATCAAACCGTAAATGATATTAAGTGGATGATGCGTTTTTCATGGAAGCCTTTCTAACATGTACTGTTACTTTGATGTCTTTAGTAAGTGAAGAATAGTAAACCCATTTAACCCTTCTATTGCCTTAGAGCTATCGTTACGAATATTTCATTGTTGTGCTTTACGTAAAACAATTTTCATTGTTACAGGTAACATTTATAGGTGTGTGCCATATAAAACCCCCATCCTGAAGAGTGTAAATGCTGAAGTCATGTTGATTGAATTTAAATCTTAATTTCACCACTTAATTGTTGTATGATTTGGGGCAAGATGCTTAACTTATTTATTTTTTTTTGTCTCAGTTTCTTCATCAGTAAAGATAGGAGATTACAATGATGACCTTAACAAGGTTGTGGTGAGGATTCAGGGAAAGAATATTTAAGCATATGGAATGCTGCCTCACACATAATTAAGACTGCAGAAATATGGGGATTATACTTTCAAGTTAGTCTTATGTTATAGATGGGAAGAAGTCAGGTTCTCATAGATAAATTACCTTGGGTAGAGAGTTTAGGACAGAGGTTCTTAACCACAGGTGCACATCTGGAAAGCTTAAAAAAGTATTAAATGCTTGACTCTCATCCCAGAACTATTGAATCAGAATCTCAGTGGGTGAGGATAGGGAACATAATTTTTTTAAAGCCCCTTCGATGATACTGGTGTGTACTGCTATTTAATAACCAATAGTGTAAAATGAAGATAAATAGATATTATTAACCTTAGGAAATACTCTGAAACTGATTTTCTTTAAAAAGTCATTGGATATCACCACTTCTGTTCAACATAGTATTGGAAGTTCTAGCCAAGTCAGTTAGATAAGAAAAAGAAATAAAAGGCACCCAAGTTGGAAAAGAAGAAGTGAAATTATCTCTATTCCCAAATGATAAGATCTTCTGTGTAGAACACCTAAAGATTCCACACCAAAAAAATGCTAGAGATAATAAATAAATATAGTTGACCCTTGAACAACATGGGTTTGAATGTGCGGGCCCACTTGTACATGAGCTTTAAAAATAAATTGACAGTCAGCCTTCCATAGTCCTGGGTTTCACATCTGTGGATTCGACCAAGCAGGGACTGAAAACTGTTTTTGATCTGTGCTCGAGAAGTCACACAGTCGTAGAGCTGACTTAAGTTATATGTGGATTTCAGGCTTTGTGGGGATTGGAGCCCTAACCCATGCCTTCTTCAAAGGTCAACTCTATACAGCCAATTCTCAGTATACAAAAGCAACACACAAAAATCAGTTGCATTTCTATGTACTAGCAATGAGCAATTCAAGAGGGGAATTTTAAAATTGCATTTACAACAGCAGCAAAAATAATAAAATACTTAGGAATAAATTTAACTAAGGAGGTGAAAGATTTATACATTGAAAACTATAAAATGCTGCTCAAAGAAATTAGAAATTTAAATAAATGGAAGGACATTCCACATTCATGGGTTGGAAAACTTAATATTTTTACAATGACAATACTACTCAAAATTACCTACAGCTTCAATGTAATTCTCTTTAAAATCTTTGCCAGTCTGACAACTAGTAAATATGTTATTTTCACTGTTCGTTTAATTAGCATTTCTTGATTTTGTACAATGTTGGATATATTTCTCTGAATTTATTGACCACTTTTATTTATTTTTCTGTGAACAACCCGTTCATATTCTTTGCTCATTTTGTACTTACTTGTGTTTTTACTGGTCTGTATGGGCATTGTGTCCACTGAGGAAGTTAGCCTTGTGCCATGTGTTGTAAACTGTTTCCTAGTCTGTTGTTTACATTTTTATTGTACTTATAGTGTGTGTGTGTGTGTGTGTGTGTGTGTGCGCGCGCACACACACATGAATGCCAGATAGAAATTTTAACTTTCTGCAGTCATCTTAATGAAATGAATCTTTTCCTTCATGGCTTCTGGACTTTTGTCTCTGGCTTAGGAAGACTTTTCTACGTAACATTAATAATTTCAAACCTACAGCCATGCTTATTCTGGTAACTCTGTTTCCTTTTCTCCGCTTATATCCCAACCGGAATTTATTTTGATATAAACGCTTAGGAATCCAAGATTTTTTTCAGTTATTTAACACTGCTTATTATGTAATTCACTGCTTTCCAACCAATGTGAAGTTCTGCATTTATCATATGCTGACTTCATATTTTTGTGTTTTCACAATTAACATAGTGAATTTTATTAATACATATCCTATTGTTAACCTTAGTTGTGGTCTTTTAGTCTTCTACTGTACTGCTGAATTCTGGCTAATACTCAACATTTTCTTTAAGGTTTTTGCACCAATATTTATAAATGAGATTAATCTTTTTGTGAGGGTTATGTTGAGTTAACCAAAAGAATGTAAAAGCTTCCTTTTTTCTCTGGCTGGAGAAGTGTGAACACTACAGTCATCTGTTCCTTCGAGGTTTGAAATACTTCGCTAGTCCAGCTGTGCGCGTGCCTTTTGTCCCGTGATGCCGTTCAAACCTGCGGCGGATGTTGGAGCCAGTCCCTCCCCGGGGCAGTTCGGGCTCCATCCGCCTTCCCTCCTGCGGGGGGCTGCTCTTCGTCCCCTCTTGTGACTCGTGCCACCACGTCTGCCGTGTCCTGACACTTGAGTTTTCTCGGGTCTTTCCTTTCTTTCCTTGGCTTGCTCCCGATCTTCTCCGTTGAGCTTTTCACCCATGGCCCTGATTAGTCACCCAGTTTCACTGGGTTGTGGATAATCTTCCTCTTCAGAACCCACAGCTGTTCTACTGTTTTCTACCGTTCACGGTGTTGCTTTCATTGCCAGAACTCCTCTTGGATTTGTTTTTCAATTCCAGAGTTGGACTCCGTCCTCACTCCTTGAGACTGCCAAAATATTAACATCCGTATATTGGTAAAAGAAATTATTATGTTACTCCTGGACTATTATAATGAGTCTCTTAATTTATTGATACTCTGTTTCAAAAATCACGATAAACCTAGCAAACCAAGTGCCTCGGCCTGTTTTGCCAGCCCTCCCTCCCCCCTCCCTCCCCTCCAGCCTCACCCGCGGCCTTCGCTGTTTGTGCTGAGGCGCACCGACCTCTGTTGTTTGCTGGATTGTGTGATGCGTCCTCCTGCCTCCGGGCCTTTGAAAATGCTTTATTAGGATACTTTTTAAAAATTCTTCATCCATTGAATTCAGTCACTTTTCTGATCTCAGCTCAAATGTCACTTCCAGAGGAAATTTCCCTGATGCTTACCCTGCGTACCCCCTCGTCCGGTCCGCTCCCCTCCCCTGGCTGCAGGCTCTCATGGGTCTCTGCACTGCCATCCTCAGAGCGTCGAATTTCCTTCCGTGTTCACTGGTTCGTATCTGTCTCCCCTGCGAAGGGTCAACTGCCACAAAGACAGGAATTATGTCTGCTTTACTCACCCAAGTATTTCTAAACTGTGTCTAGGACATTCATTCATTAAGTCATGCTATTTTTGTGCTTTACACATTGGTGATACTGCAGTGTGCAAAAAAGAAAACCAAAGTCCTTCACAAAGTCTACATTCCTGTAAAGGAAGAGAAACATTCATGTTCCAACCTGTCAGAGTAGAAAAATCTCACTGAACAGAAGAGTCCCTGCCTTCACAGCAGGATTAAATTATCCCTGGATTTAAGGCTGTTCTGGACCCGCTGTTAAAAATATTTTTAAAACAAGGTTTGAACCTGATCCATAAGTTATTTAACTGCCTGCCAAATAACAGATATCAGTATACTTCAGGAGAAGATAGCAAAATTCAAACATTTAACAAAATAGTAAACACGATGTCTTATACCCAATCAAAAATCACCAGACATTTGAAAAAGCAGCAGGTTGTAACTCAATAGCAAGGAGGAAATTAGGTCAATAGAAACATACATGTAAATGACAGTGATGAGGCAGTTAGCAAAGAAAGACTTTAAAATGGCTCTTAGAACGTTTATAAATAACCCAAAGGCATAGACATAATCAAGAGGTAAGTGAAAGATATTAAAAAACAATTGAAGACAGAGAAAAAATATTTGACCAAATGCAACACCCTTTGTAATAAAAGTGTAAATACAAAATATAAAGGAGCTGCTTGTGGGGAGAAAAGGAAGAAGGCACTCCAGGTCGAAGAAACAATGTCAGCAGTGTTGTGGGAGCTTGTAGCCATGTAGTGAATACTATGCAGGGTCACTTTAAATATGCTTTACCTATGAAGGACAGAATTTCCTTTTTGACTCCTTGGTAAGTTTGTTTTGCTTCATGATATTACATTATTTTTTTGAATTCTCTGGTGGTAGTCTAAGCATCAGCTAACGTTTATTTGTATCCCATTGTAACTTTCAACAAATCCTGGTCAGTTTGTTAAAAACTTCCTAAGTGGCCAAGGGAAGGCAGCCCAGTCTTAAAATTGACCATATGCTGCTTCAATTTTTACTACATGAGAAAAAGTGAAGGAGTGCTGACATATATGGCAAAGCCTAAATAGTTAAAATAACGGTTTTTGCTTGTTTCTAGAAATGAAGTCCATGGAACATGACAGTGGCCCATTAAATGAACTTCAACAACAGAAGAGTAAATTGATGCAAGAACTGTTTACTCTGCAGAGAAAACTTAAAGGTATCACCTTTCTGTGCTTTGTTTATTCTGCCGATGAGTGTATTTATATACACGTGATAGGGTAGTATTTCTCTTTCTAAATGCATCAGCCTATTGGGACGTAGTGCTATTACTGGTATTGAAAAAGGAATAGATAAAACACTGAATTGATTGGTGTTAGACTTGATATTTTTTAATGTCTCAAATGTTAGGACCTTTTCTTGTGTCTTTAATAGCTATATTAAAGTAGAAAATAAAAATCACTAGCACATACATTTTATGTGAAGCAGCAAAAATTAGAGGATAGTTCTTATGAATGAATAAGTATAAACTTTATGTTTAATTTTTAAAAGATCGTAAGAATTTTCTTAATTGTTTAGTTTTTGAAGATAAAAAGAAGGAAGCCATCTGTACTACCGAATACCTAGAGGCAGAAAAAATCAAAATCCGTGAAAAGCCTCAAAGTGATGCTGAATGCTTAAGGTAAGACTTGCCTGTTACACTTTAGTATACAATCTGGGAATTTTTCAAGTTGTCAAATAGATTTCAGCGTAAAGCTAAATGCACAGATTTTTTTTAAGTTCCAGATGAAGATGTTATTTTTTTCTATGTATGTTCTGAGACATGCTAATAAACAAACACATCACTGACCAGAAAGCACTGCAAGTAAGTTTCATGATGCATCGGGTTAATAATACTGCGATCAATTTTGTCTTTTCTTAGCCCTCGTGGACTCAGTGTTACTCACATCCTAATAGATTAAGGAAAAGTATTGGTCCCACAACTCTCCTTTCTTTCATCCCTGACTTTTCTTTTGCAAATAATTGGAATTATTTTTTATCTTTCTCCAATTCAGTGCGGGTGGGGAATCACAATCTCCTATTTTGCTTGAAATTTGTTACTCAGTGCTGAAAGATTGAAAGTGCATTTTCTGTTCGGAATATTCAGATGCTTTTTATGTATTTGGATCATGAAAGAATGGCTGACGTTGAAAATGAAACACTCATATACACAAGGAGGGAAAAAACCCTGTTTATTAATTTGACTGTTCTTTATTAATAATTCAGTGTTATATTTGCTGGCTTAATTTTAAAGAAGTTTCTATACTTTCCAGGCTTAACCAGGCTTAGTATAACCAAAGAAACCTCATTACCGAATCTATGAAGAAGCAAATGAAGCCTTCATCCCCATAAATCATATAGGAAATATGTCCGCTAGAGCTGAACAAATGCTTCATATTACCAGTGTTTAGCCTCAGGCCATAATTTCAGTAGATTATGAGAAAATATTTGCAATTTAATTTTATGTTCAGTTTTGTAAGCATGAAATATCAATCTCTTGGGTGGTGTGTGTGATGCAGAATGAGTTTCTGTAATGACAATGTGCTCATTGATTTTTTTTACACTTTAAAAATGGCAGTGCCCACTGGTATCGTTATAGCTAGTGGTGTGAGGGCCTCTGATATCAACTCCACTTTCGTGGGTTTATCACTCAGTCATACAAATACGCCCTGGGTTAGAATTAAACACACGAAGTCTGCCAGAGGGTGCTTTCTCCCTCACTGATGGGACCAAGGGGACCCGGATAGAAGGAAACATCAATCCCTATACCTGATCTGTTCTTTGGATTTTAGCAGCTATTAAATGAAATGCCAAAATTTATTAATTCCTACATTAAATTCTTTGATATGCCTAGCTTAGTTTCCCCACCGGTATGACCTATGAAAGTTTTTTCGAGTGTGAAGAGCAGAGTCAAAGTACTGAGTGTAAAAATTTTAGGAAAGGGGGCCATCAGTTTTACAATCAGTGCAAGAGCAAAAAACTAATGATGGCAAAAAATGATGTGACATTCATTCAACTTTATCACGAAGGCCAAAGTTAAATTGGTTTTATTCCTAAATTTTGGAATAGAATCATCTTTGTCATCCGTGGGTTGAAATGTATACTGAATTTTGTAATAGTTGCCTTTTTTCTTAATTTTCCAGGTTTAGCTGCTATTGATAATGGATGCTATTTTTATAGGAGGGTTTCTCAGAAACCTGTTAGTGTGGACAGTTGGGTCCAGATCACTCTTTGTGTTGGGGAGCTGTCCTATGCGATGTGAGATGTTTAGCAGCGTCCCTGAGCTCTGCCCAGTGGGTGCCAGTGTCAGCCCCTCCCGCCCCACCTGTCCGAGCTGTGACAGCCAATGTCTCCGGACATCACCAAATGTCCCCTGTGCAGAGGGTATGGGAAACACATCTCTAGTTGACAACCAGTTTTATTTTAAGGTTATTATAGTTACAATTGTATTAAACTTTAGTAAGAAAGCAATTACTAAACAATTATATTAGTTCATTTCTATGAGCTGATTGTTTCTACTTTTAGTACTCAGAAAATCTTGAATACATATTTTGTGTCTATATTACTGAATTCTTTTACAATGACTGTGCGTTTTTTAAGTTAATTTGCCATGCCTTGGTTATTTGTTGAGCTGTCTCTTTTGATGCCATCCATTAAGGTGGAAAACAGTACCCACCCTCACAATGGCTTAATGGTTTAATGGTCTGTGCTTTAGGTAATCTTTCCCTGTTTATAAATACCAAGATGTCTGTTTATTTAAAAGATTCTCTATTGAAGTGTGTGGGCTCATTAATTAACACATGTTAAGGCAGCTAATTGCTGTGCTTGACACTTATGCCAGAGGTTGGATTCATTCCTCAGACGCCTCCTGAGGCTTGTGAAACTGTGCCTGAGCTCGTGTTTTCGTAGTCTAGGGAGGGCCAAATGGTCTTGAGAGGAAGGAAGCATGGAGGGCAAGATCACAACCCCTTTTGAATCCCAGCTCTGCCATTGACTAGGTTAGTGACCTTGGGGAAGCAATTGTCTGTGCCTCAGTTTCCACATCTATAAAATGAAGTTAGTAATAGCGCCTACCTCACAAGGTGATAGTAAAAAAAAATATATATATATATATAAGTGACTTAATCTATACAAATCCCTTAGTGCTTTGCACGCAGTAAATACTCTATAATTACTGGATATAATTATATCATTACTTGCGATTTCATTTTTATTCCATTCTGTCTGTGAGGATTTCACACCTTTCATGCTTCTTTCTCATTTTCCCTCTGCTTGTCTCCAAACGCAGAGGCTCCCTACGGGTTACTCACGGATTGTCCTCTTTATACTCTCCGTGGGCAGTCTCATCTGGCCTGAAGATTTTAGTTAGCATTGACAAATTTTTGTCCCTAGTCCTCTCTCCTAAACTTCAGCCCTGAATTCTCAACAGCCTAATGCAGAAGGAGAAATGCATCTGAAGGGATGCTGCCTTGATGAAACAAACAAAACCATACCGTCAGAAGTTCAAGGGCCTCCGTAACCTGCCCGTGCCTTATGCCCCGGTGTTTTTATCTCACGCCTTCCTCACAGCACTGGCGCATCCGAGTACACCTGTGGCACCCCAAGCAAGCCCTCCCACCTCTGTATCCTTCCCTCTTCCTTCCCCATCAGCTAACATCCAACTTCGTCCTCCAGGCCCAGCTCACACGGCATCTTTGCCGGCGATTGCTCAATCCAGAATGCAGCAGGCATCTTGACATGTTTACAAATCACATTATTCTCACCCTGCCCAGCCCACCACCAAGTTTGGGTGCTTTTACCACCAAAATACCTCTTGAATTGTTCTTCCTCTCTGTCTCCATTGCTAACATTCTGGTTCTAGCCCCCACCCTCTCCCACCGGGTCACAGTATCAGTCTCTCTTCTCCTTTCCCCCCACCCACTCGTGCACCCTCCAGTCCACTGTCAACTGAATCGTCATCCCCTTCTTGAAACCATTCGATGGCTTCATAACGGATGCCATAAAACCGGAAGTCCTTAGTGAGTGAGGCCTGCGCGACTTGTCACGATGTGGCCTCTGACCGCATCCCTGATGCTGTTTCCAACAAGGTCCCCTTCTCACTCGGTTCCCTCGGGTCCTCCCAGCTTTCTTCCACTGCGGAGCCGTTGTCCGTGCCTTTCCTTCTCCCGTTCACCACTCTGCCTGCCCGTCTCCGACTGCTGGGCGCGCCCCATTCTGTGGGCGTCAGTTGAAATATTTCCTAAGAGAAACCCTCCCTTACAGTAAATCGTGCCATCTGTTATTTTTCTAATAGCACACTGTTCTTTCTGTTTTGTAGTTACATATTCATTTGCTCTATTTTGTTAATGTCTGTCTCTTCCATGTGGGAGGAGTTATGTTGTCTATTTCATTTCCCGTTGTATACTAATGGTCTAATACGTTGGTACAGAGCTTGTCATATAGTAGGCACTGAATACATAAATGGAGGGATGAATGAATGGACTAAATTATGAAACCTTTCCTCTACAGTTCTTTTCTCTGTGTTCCTAGAGAATAGGCTTCTAATTCTGCTACATCGTTAATCATATTCAGTGATAATATGTGTATCAATCTGTTCTGCTAGACTGGGAACTCCCTCCACTTGCTCATTTTTCATCAGTCTTTGCATCTAGCACAGTCAAGGGCAAATAATGTTCAAGACATTTATTCCAGGAATCGGGTCTCCATATAATTGTATTTTCACTACAAAGAAGATAACAGTTCATCATATATTTTCACTGTTATTTGCAGAAACATAGTGTATTCTAACCACTAGGATAGCCCCACGGCACCCTTTCTCCTCCTAATGTTTTTCCCTGTGGGAAACGCTGTCCGGGTTTAACTGTCCTCGCCTCCGTCGCCCCCGATGTAACCCCCCCTTTCTTGTTCTGACTCGCTGTGATTGCTGAGTCTGGAAGGTGCTCTGGAGTGCCGTGTGTTCTGCCCTGCTGCTCCGCTCCTGAGGTCCTGTGATGGGGGGTCTCCGTGGGAGGAAGCTTGTGGCGTCCAGGTCTGCCTGTGATGGTGTGCTCTGTTAGTCTGATCCTGGGGTTCAATATGAGCAAGCCCTTTCTTGGCAGATATAAGCCACCTTCTCTGCTATTTGACCTCCCTTCTGCCTTATTTCTCTTTTGGGCGGAATTCAGGCAGGAAAGAAAAATGGTATCTATTAGACTGCCAACACCTGTCATTTATATTATTATCTAACACCAGTCACTAATACATAGTCTTGTACCCACAAAAACCACTAGAATGGTTTTACATATTTTTATAGCCAATATTTGCAATCATTTAATGCAACAGAAAGTTTGTGACAGCAATGAAACTGCAAAGTCAACAGCACGAGAGGTTTCCTTCTGGCCATTTGAAGACAGTAGGGCTTTGTGAAGAGTGTGTTTGCAGTGAAAACAGCACGGAAGTTAATATGCACCTGCTATTGAGAGACCCCAAATGCATTGATGCGAAGTAGTAGATCAGTGCTCTGGCCCCTTCGGTGAAAAGTCATCCAGTTTAGTTGGTCATGGAGGTCACACCAACGGACCTCAGATTTATAAGTCGGCATAAACACACGCTAATATTAAACTACTCCCATCCTTTGGTAATGATATATAGATAAAAATATAT